AGCTATCCAGTGCGTTGTGATTGGCCGAATACCTCAAGCGTGTGACGGAAATGTTACGCCCCTTACCATACTGTGGTGCCGTCTTCCAGCAGGACGAGACTCAGTCCAGCTGCTCTGCTCTTGCACATCCCATCATCGGTTCTCTTTTAGCAGTTCAGTCAATTTGCACCAAGAGCTTGTAACACTCCAAAGAGAAAGGAAAAATTGAAATCGCATCATATGACCCCTTTAAGTAAGATAACTATAAAGTTTTGATAATCGTTTAATAATCATTACACAATTGATGATAAATAACTTTGCCTCCGGAATTTGTGTGGAATGTGATGCACCTTAATTTTGTGAGAACAAAGTGCAACATTTGGGTTCCGGAATTCAATAAAATCATTAATTTCCTCCATAGGAAAATTGATTTTTAACCATAACTGATAAACCTTTAAAGACAGACCTGTTGTGAGCTCCGAGGTTGTTAATTGATTTATGCTTTTGTTGAACCCATCTGTTTGCATTAATTCAGCTTACTTTTAAAATAATCGTGTTTAACAATGGAATCCCTGGTGAAAAACTACATTGCCCATGATGTTATACAGAAAATTCCACCAATCAGACAGTCACAGCGTGCATATTATATGCATATTTTGTCATAAATTTAAAATATGTTGTTTCTATAGATACATCTACTTTAAATTAATATTTTTATATTTCCCATTGTTTTTAATTTGATTAATATCATTCGCAATGCTTCATGGGATTGTAGTTCTTTCCCTCCCTAAAGCAGTTAAGTACGCAGTCTCATACCTTTTTCTTTTTGTCCGGCTGTCAATCACTTTTTTACTTCATAAAGTAAATGAAGTAAAATAATTTTTCACTTTATAAAGTCTGTAATGTTGCGATTCTCCTTGTTTGGGTTGCTTTGCTTCATGGCTTACAATGCTTTAATTAAGTGTTTTTTGTTTGTTAATATACTTTTGGAACCAGCACAACTGAAAAAAGCACTCTGTTGGGAAGTGCATGCCACAACTATAACATTGACGGCACAGAGGAACAACATCATTGGAATCACTTTCCAAACTATTTTTTTCCAGCTGATGCACAATAAAAACATTGACAACCAATCAGAATCCACTCAACTTTAAAAGCAGCATGTGGTATAACTGCAGCATGTGCTTATAATAAACAGAACTTTGTTCTGTGTTGGATGCTAATAATGTAGTTATTGTTATAGTTATCTTTATAGTTATCATTCTTGGTGTGAAAGGGGCATTTTACATTTTCACAAAAATCAAGTTGTTCAAAAGACCTGTTGCATATAGTATAATGACTTTTTAAAATATTCTCTCTCTGTAGGCAGCTTACAGAATTTTAGAACAAAGTAACAGTTTATTTGTTATTTTCTCTGAAGGATTTTTTTTATTATTAATTCAGTTTAAGAATAGTAAACCGCCTGAAGGAAACTAGTCTAGTGTGCAAGTCCACTGTCAATGGACAACACCGCCTGTCTTACACTATTGGACACTTCCATCACTCATTGAACACAAAGAGTTTTGTTGCAGAAAATAATAGATCTGTCGCATAGTGGGTTTAAACCTTTGTTGAGACATTACTGTAATGAGCAGAATACGCCCAGTGCATTCAGCGCTGGATAAATATAAAACCCCCTCATCTGTCATCTGTTTCATAACAGTGTCAGCTATTCCCCACTGTTAACCTCCTTATCTCTCTTTTCATTAGTCACTGTCTCTGCCACAACCTGTGTAACGGTCTGCCTCTTGAGCTCATGTGTGTGTTATTCACTGAAAATTATAAGTTGCTTTGGTAAGAATGCATCGGTGAAGAACGTAAACACAGGCATCAATGGCACCAGGAGAACACTGCAAGGAACAAGGAGCTGAGAAATAAGGTTTGTTCCATAGATTTCAATGGATTTTGTTTATACTACTTACCAAAGCAAGAAAAATATGATTAAATATTTTTTAATTAAATATTATAACTTTGTAATAAAAATATATAAATTAAAAATATATATATTTTAAATATAAAAATGATTTTTTTTAAACAAATATATAGTTTAGTCTTAATTTTATTTTTTTTTATAAAATATGGCACACACTGTATAAGGTGCCCTGAAGAAGTCATGCAATAGGTCATGTCATTTTTCAGTAAAGCTATGTTGTTGTTTTTTTATTCAAAAATTATTTGATATTATGATCTTAAAATTATTTTTAAAATAAAATGCTTTAACAGAATTTTTAAAATAACATGCTTTTAAAGATTAAACATAAAAGCAAATAACTGTCTAATTAATCCAATAGTAAGAAAGACTGAATGATTAGTCAGAACTGATGCATGCATGAACGCATAAATACTCAAAAAGACAGAGAATTCCTGGAATGTCAAGCACACAATGACCAACATTTAAAGTGTGTAGTGTGCTGCTCTGATGCTGCTAAATTTGACTTGGCCTCTGGTTTTATGAACTGACTGAGTGGTTTCAACCAAGCTTGAAAATGATTGGAAGTGACTCCATGTGAAAAGAGCCGTTATTGGCTATATAAATTATGCAGCCTACAAAAGCCCAGCCTTCAGAGGGCAAATATGCTATGCAGATTCTGCTGACAGAAACCACATCCTTTTGTTGTAATGATGATGATTCTGATGATTATGTATTTGTTTGTAGTTGTGAGTGGTGTGGACAGTACACTCTAAACAATGCTGGTAAAATAGGGACAAACCCAGCAATTTGGCTGTTTTGACCCAGCGGTTGGGTTAAATGTTTAACCCAACCTTCTGGGTAGTAACCCAACCGCTGGGTCAAAACAAC